ATTCGTCGTATCCGCGTATGCACCGACCGATTGCAGTTCACCAGAAATAAGGGATGAATTATATAAGGACCTCTCTCTACTGCTCCAAAGTGCTCGGTTAACGGACATTGTGATAGTCGCTGGAGACCTCAATGCTCAAGTGGGAGCCCTGGACGAATCATAGAAGGCTACTTGGAGGTTCACATGCAATCCCAGCCAACAGGACTGACAACGGAGAACGCCTAGTTCATACTTGGCGGTTCGCATGCAATCCCAGCCAACAGGACTGACAACGGAGAACGCCTACTCCACGTTTGTGCTGACCACGGACTGTTTCTTTCAAGCACGAACTTCTCACACAAAAAACGCCACCGACTTACATAGAGAGCGCCAACTTCTTCACAGCACTGGACTCAAATCGACCACATCACTGTCAGCCACCGCTGGAGAGGATCCATTGAAGACTGCCGCTCCTATTGGTCAACACCCGTAGACACGGATAATGCTCTGCTACGAGCGAGATGCTCTCTACGCCTGATAAACAACCGCAGAAAAGCCGCTGATACCCACAATACACTATCACCGACAGTTGCAAATCGGCCTTCGAAGCGGAACTATCAGATCGCCTCTTAATTCAACCATCAGCCGGAGGACGCAGTGAACACTGGTCGGCAATCAAGAAAGCGATCCAAATTTCAATCAAAACAATGGCAAACTCTGCCGCACGATCAAAGTAAAAACGATGGATCTCCTCAACCTCGGTTGCCCTGATGGACGCTCGCAAAGCAATTCCCTCGGATTCAACATACGACAAAGCGCGCAAATCCCTTAAACGCCAGCTCATAAAGAGTCTGAGGAATGACTGCGAGAAGTGGTGGGTAGGAAAGTGTAGAGAGATAGAGAAGGCTGCGGTTATTGGTAATAGTCGCAATCTTTTTCGTTTCATTAGAAGTACGGCACCAAGGAAAGCAGGCGTGAGGTAATTAAGGAGTCTGACGGCACACTAATTCAAATTCAGCAACTTCGTCTTGAACGTTGGGCAGAACATTTTAAGGCACAGTTCAGCTGATCCCCTTCGACATGAGACTTCCCCTCACTCGGCCCAACTGTGCAAATACTGCTCGCTGACATCAGTCCTCCATCTGAAATGGAGGTTACCCGGGAAATAAGCCACCTCAAACGGCATGAGGCTTCCGGCCCTGACGGGCTGTCCCCATCCGTTTTTAGGAATGGAGGCTCAGCCTTGTTTTTGGAGTTA